CTGTTTCCTGGTCTTAGGCTTCTGCCACCAGAGTGTGGAGTCATTTGCACCGACATGCCTTCTATCATGATGGTCTGTACCCTTCAACTGTGAGCCAAAATAAGCCCTTCTTCCCTTATGTTGCTTGTTAGGTATTTGGTTATAGAGGGGGAAAAAAAATCTAAAAAAAAGTCTGTTTCATTTCCATTTTGAAAATTTCCCTGGATATGGTGAATATTCAGTAGGGTTCTTTTTCTGCACTTTTTATATATCATGTTTATGTCTTTTATTTTCTGATGACTACTGTCTCAATTATAGAGTCACAAAGTTTGTCTGTACTTTGATAAATATGCTAGTGATAGTTTGTTAGAATTACTTGAGGCGGCCATGGCAGTGAGAAAACAAAGGCAGTTCATAAGCCAACAGGTACAGCAGTGTTTCCAAACTTTGTGAAGAGGAGGCAGGACAGATCTGACCTGAGGGCTCGGTTCTATGTATCCATCCCTCTCCAGTTGCTTTTAAGACTTTTCTCTATCATTGTTCCTAAGTAATGTGATGCCTGTACCTTAGAGTGCACTTGCCTACTTTGCTAAAGCTGTTAACTCTTGGTCGTCACTTCTTAGATATGTCTTTGACATTTTACTTCTTAAAATATCTTTAACATTTTAAAGCTCCTAGCTTGCAAATACCCTTCTTTCCATTAACTTTTGATTAATCAGATTTGGTTTTTCACCTAGATGTGGGTTATATTTTCCTCTGTCTTTGAATGTCTCACAATTTTATCAGATGCTGGATATTATGAATTTTAAAATTAATTTAATCCTTGAAAAAGTGTTGGACTTTGTTTTACTAGCTGCACAAATAACATCTTTCAAGGTTTATGTTTAACCATTCCCGGGCATTAGAGATTCTTGGGGGGCAATTTACCTCGACTGCTAAATCTTATGCTTGACCAGGACCTTTATTGAAAGGGAGAGGAAAAAGTACGGAAAGAAGCTTGCTACACCAAGACACAATGGAAAGGCCAGAGACTAGAAACATGATTCCACAACACTTTCTGTAAGCCTTTATTAATGTGTGGTTTGCTGAAGTTCTTTGCTTATTTTTTTCTGTCACTGCTCCTCTACTATAGACTGTGACTTTAGCTTTGCAAAAGACTTAGGTAAAAAATCTCAGTTCTGAGTTTTACTAGATGTTTGTTAAGCAACTTTCTTACTTCTATTCCTATTTCTTTCTAACCTCGGTCTTTATCTGTAAGGAGGTGGGGAGGGTATGGGTAGGAATCCACTTACAAAGTACTGTGAGTTAAAGACAAATGTATCTGCCATCATGCCGCCACAAAACTTAGCATTGTTAGTTCCCTTGAGTAAAAGTCCTAGGAAGAACACTCCTTTAGGCCAAGCTCTCAACCCAGCCTTCATGTCTAAAATCATATCCTCAAATGTTGATGCCCAATGGCCACATTTATTTCTGGGATGAGGCCAGAACATGGATTATTTAAAAAGTTTTCCAAGTGATTTTAACACGAGTGCAAAGTAGAACAAAATGAAACAATGCCCTGCCGACTGAGCCAGGGAAAGCTATCCTTTTCATCTCCCCCAAATCAAGGGGTATGTGTGTGTGTGCGTGTGTGTGTGACACAAAGCAAAACATATTAAGAGAAAAACAACTGCAGGCTATAACAGACACTGACAAGAGCTGGCAATACACTTGGCTGACTTCTTTGATTCTATTTTTAATATTAAATCCACACTGGTTATGTAACATTGGGGCTAAAGTTTTTACACAACTCCTTTTGAATGTCTGAAACTCAGAATGTTGATTTTATAAAAATCTTGGTTCTCATTTCTTCAAAAAGTATTTACATGGCAATTTCTTTTCATATGGGAAAGCTGGAATTTAACAAGTTATTTTTTTTAAAGGCACTGTTGACTGTGAATCCTTTTTTGTTAAATCTTCCACTCATTCTGAGGTTCATTCACATCTAAAAAGGGACTCTGCAAAAATTAATGCAGTAAAACAAAATAAGCCCAACACTGAAGCTATGACAACGGGCAAATGCTCAGTACAGGAACAGTGTACACTCAGAAGTACTTTTAATCTGGGATACCTTTAATTAAAATTTCCTTGTGCTCAAACCTCTTAGTTACAGGATCACATTGCTTAAGATCCATAATCTTCCAGATGATGTTACTGATATTTTAATAACAGTTAACATTTCTTAGGTTTAAAAATAAAATGTAAATCCTCCTCTACTTCAGGTAGTTTCAGAAACTTAAATTCAATAAAAATAATTTATGTGGTGGAATGACATATAAAGTATAACATTCCTTTTTCTTTTTTTTTTTAAAGACAGGATCCCATTTGTCTTAGGCTGGCCTCGAACTACTTAGCTGAGGATGATTTTGTTAGGATAATTTTGAACTTCTGCCTCTGCCTTTCAAGTGCTGATAAAAGATGTGCACCACCATGACTGGTTTAATGCAGCAATGGAGAACAAACTGAGGGCTTCATGCATGCTAGGCAAGCACTTTCCCAAATGGAACTACATCCCTAGCCCTAAAGTATACCATTCTTGAGAAAAGATACTATATACAAATGCACAGTATCATTTCCTTGAATTATTCACTTAAAAAGTATTCTAGGTATACACTACAAGATGCATACACTTTGAGCAAAACAAACATCAAAATGGTAATTTCCAGTAACTAGATATACCAATCTTTTTTTCTTAAGGGTGTGCTGGGCACAGAATAAGAATCCAATCCTCATTTCTAAAAGGGTAATATTAAGTGATATCTGGAAAGACATATTTTTTGTAGATAACATTATCATAAAAAGAACAGAATTAAATGAGCAAAGAAAATCACACATTTTTATTTATTGCATGCATGTGTATGTGTATGTGTGTGCGCCATGGCACGTGCATGGAGGTCAGAGGACTGCATGTGGGAATTGGCTCTCTTCTTCCACCAAGTGCATCCTGGGGTTTGAATTCCGGTCCTCAAGCTTCAGTGGTGGCAGGGACTTTTATGCTGAGCCATCTCACTTACCCCAAGAAAATGAAAGATTTAAGACTTTGAAATTTTTTTCTTTTTAGATGTTACTAAGCTGCTTCAATATAGCACAAGGATTTCATGTAAGAAATTAAGACTTGATGAAGGATTTTTATCTCTACATCAAAGGATTCTAATGGCATCTTAAGACTTGAAGACAAAAAAGTGCTATAGTTTCCCCGACTATTCAGCTGGAAGACAGGCAGTGAGAGTGTGCTTGAATGAACCAGAATCATTCCTTCAACTTGATATGTAAGTCAAGGAGTCAGAGTTGTACATATACTTATCAGTAGACACATTAAATATCTTCCAAGACCATATTCTATAATTTCCTTCCTTGTATTATCTCTTTAGGGAAAACAATTTCTCTTTTTCAATGTATAAACAAATGTCTTTCAAAGGGCAGACAGATGTCTAGTTTTACATTTGTGTTCATAGTGAAGCCTAATTTGTTCTCTTTAACAGCATTGGACTGGCCTGTGGCCATATCTGTGGGATATTTTCTTGAGTTTTGAGTGATGTGGCATGGGGGGGGGCAGTCCACTGTGGGTGGTGCCACCCCTGGGCAGGTTGTTCTGTGTTGTATAAGAAAGCAGGCTGAGCATGGGCCAGGAAAGCAAGCCAGTAAACAGCATCCTCCATGGCCTGTGCTTCAGCTCCTGCCTCCAGGTTCCTTCCCTGAGTTCCTACCTTGGGCTCCCTGATGAATTGTGACCTGGGAGATGTAAGCCAAATAATCCCTTTCCTCCCCAAGTTGATATTGGTCAGAGTATTTTGTCACAACAATGGAGAAACAAGCTAGAACATCCTCTCATCAGGCTTTAGCTTGAAAACTTAACACTTAGAAGAAGCAGAGGAAAGTATAACCAGTTAGAAATAGGTGAAAGACTAACAGTGATTAATAAGACAGTAATAAAAGAGGCATGGGGGGGATCAGGGTAATTCAAAGTATCACCTTATTTAAAAAAGTTCAGTTGGATGGGCTTTTGAGTAAAGTTTGTTACTCAGGTTCTAAATGATGAAATTCAGCAAGTAATCGGTACTTGCTATACTTTTAATCTTAGAAGAAACTATTTTTCAAGTCATTGGTAATGGTTTTCAAATTATAATGTGAATAATCCCAGTATTATATTACTAGAATTTAAATTTTCATTTACAATATTCCATATATATTGTCTTGACACACAAAATCCTTGAAATATCTGATGTTCATAGATAAAACTGGGGGCTTACTGCTTTCCCAGAAGTTCCTGAAGTATCTTAGTCCAATATTAATCCAAGTATTAATGATCTCGTCAATTTCAACAAATGCTAAGATGGACATATCTGGTTCTAAGTTACTATCCAGCTAGCAACTGGATAATGGAACATGCAGGGTAAGTCAGGAAAACATGTTAAGGAGAGGAAGCCCACTGAAAAGCAAATCCTTCTGTTATTTACTTACAGGGAAGATAATTCTCCACTGATTCTACAGAGCATTTCTAGTTTTAACCTAGCTATTTTCTGAAATGTCCTGGCGACTGGAACCAGGTTAGGAGTGGGAGCAGCAGAATGAAGATAAGGGTTGTTTTTAAGCACTGCCACAGAAGCTTGGGAAAAAGATAAACCTAGAATCACCAAAGGTCATTATTTCCTTAAAATGTTTTCAAAATAAATGTGAGACTAATCTTCAGAACAATGCACAGCCATGGATAAGTCAAAACCTCCAGGAAGAACCATATTTGGGACAACTCTTAAATACTATATAATCAAGACCCAGGAGAACTGACATGTTTCCGGTTTCCTGGATAAACAAACAAAACAAAACAAAACCCAACAACAACAAAACCCAAACCCCACTCCCAAATCAAAAAGGAAAGAAGGCTAGAAGGAATGGTAGGGTGTGGCATTTTAATACTTTATGAAATAGAAACTGTGTAAAGCATATAATCTCAAAGGAAAAAAAATCTCAAATATACAACTCTAAAAATGTTAATCAATGTTTAATGTTTTGAGGATAAAGTAACAAATGATTTTTTTTTTAAAACTCAACTAGCTTAATTTCCTCTAAATTTTTCTAAGAGTTAAAAATTTACCATTACACTTACTGATTTAGAACCATCAAATTTTACTTTTGAAAAATCTAATACCTTTCAAAAAGTTATAATTTTAATGTTAGCACAAAAATTACTTCCCTAACATTTTATTTTTAGAAAACTTTTCTGCAGTCAGAGAAACCTATTTTTGCATTACATTACTGCAAGGCACATACAGAACTCGCCTCCTTCAAAACACACAGAAGATATACTCCCTGAAATAGAAGTTTAAAACCCTTGGATAATTAGAAATACCACAAAGTTAACAATTTTTAGGTTAAAAACATTGCTCCTACAGGATCATGCACCTTTCTTAAAATCAATTCACCACATATGGATGGTTTTAAAACCACTTGCACTTGACATGAGAATACAGTGACGCTGAGAACAGACCAACACCAACCTGAAGTGACAGCCTGCTGCGCGGTGCTACCGCCTCTACAGACACTGACCATCTCCACTATTTTCAAAGACTTGAATTTAGTAATGTGCCAACTGGACCAGAAACAAAGAGTTTCTTTTTAAAAAAACCAATACATGTATCAGTTTCTAGACTCAATTCTTTCATAAAGAATGCTAAATGAATTATAATTTTCACTCAGTAAAACTGAAGATAGGCCATTTATGCTTCTACCAAATTTAATGCAGCTTAATTAGGGACCAGGTACACTTTTTTCTTCTGAACACTTCTGGTCAAGCATGTCTAACCATAAATGCAAATGGAATTTTAAGAGGTAGATATTCTTTCCATGATGCATTTTGTATTGTCAAGAAAATAAAAACAATCACTGAGTGTGTTTTCTTAAAGTATAAGGGTCTAATGAAAAGGAAAAATAGTAGATAGATATAGGATTTGTTACAGTTTGACATTTTAACAGTCATAACATTGAATGTTTTGTGACCAAGTGCATTTTCTATTCTCTCAGGATCAAAATACGAGTCTGCCAACTGTATTAAATCCTCCTCCACCCCCTCCACCAGTTGGTCCACAGCTTCCTGGTGGATCATTGTCGTCAAATCCATTGGGCCGAAATGAACAGGAGGCAGAAGCAGCTTGTAGGGCTCGTGCTCGAGCGTTCAACTCTTGTTCCTAAAATTAAAAACAATTTTTATATAATTAAAATGCTAAATACAATCTATCCTAAGTCCTACTGAAGTACCCAGTTACCTTGCAGGAAACAAGGCAGAGAGACTAAATTCCTCATAACTCTAGAGTGACAGATCCCAAAGTCATCTTCAATATCTCACTTTACAGCAGACTAACATGAAACTCATAAAATGCTCTAATACAAGAGGAATGGAACTTTTGTACAAAGAAAACACCGATCATCACAATGGGTTATCTGCTCTGTATTATCACTGATGCTATTGTGGAAGTGGATAATCATAGTATGTTATAAATCACAAAAGTATGAATTTCTTTTTCTCTCTTTCTTTCTTTCTTGGTTCTGCTTCCTTAGGTTACTTCTTAACAAACAGTAAGGTGGATCCCAAGAAGTATGGATATGTAAAACGAACCCTATCTCTTTAGTAGTACTTAGAACTTTCCCTAACAGGTTACTAGAAATTATACCAGAAAACCAGTCATATTTGTCTATGTGTAGGTACACATTAAGTGCTTAATAAATAAAATGCTCTGAATTTAGAACATTAGTAGCTATTGGGCCAGCAAGATGGCTCAATGGGTAAAGATATTCGCTGCCAAACCTGATGACCCGAGTTTAATCCCTGGAACTCGTACGGTGGAAGAGAGAACTGACTCATACAAACTGTCCTCTAACCTCCACATATGTGCAATGCATGCGTGCAAGTGCGCACACATACACATGCAAAAAAATTAAATGAAAACAAAATAAAAAAGAAAACAGAACATTACTCAGCTTCAAAACGAGCAAATGTGAATAAATAGTGCTAAATTCATGTGGCAGGGTGTAAAACCGGATTCTAAAGCAACAGTGAAAAGAATAGCTGCTTGTGATCCAGTATGTGCTCAGAGGCAGTGGGGTAACCTGTAAGTCAATGAGACCTGGGTTTCGTTCTCAGCAGCAGCAGTTATGGTTATAAACGCGTCTGTCAGTTCAGTCAGAAACTAGACCTCTGATAAATATATCTTAATATAGATAATCTGTTTATTTACAAAAGCAAAGATTGTACTGGGCCTTATAGTATACATTTTATGAGATAGACATTTTCTATTTCAACTTAGCTGTCTTCTTCATTCTACCTTCACCCCACCTTCAAAACTGTGGGGTTAGAATTAGTGTTCAAACGACACAAGGTAAGGAAGATAAGAATTAATACAGTCTACTTCTATTATCTTGATACTAAGGCATCCAACTGAGTGTTAGTATTTGGTACCCAGCCAGTTCTAAATTTATTTTATTTTGTAGATTCTTTTTTGTGGCATTCTAGAATACTGTGATACTCCTTTAAAATGTATCATGTATCATTATTTGGGTATTTTATAATGCAGTAAATTTGAAATCTTTTTTGAGAGTGTTTCCCTAAAAATCAGTAATAATGGCTCATTTCTTCTCTAGTATTTTAGGGGGTCTGTGACTGCCAAACACAAAACTTTTAAAAACTTCATTTAAGCTCATGTGAACCATTCAATTAATATTCCTATCATTTCACCTGTAATTTACTGCTGGTTCTTTTTTGTTTTGAGGGCTGGGTCTCCTTATGTGGTACATGCTAGGCTTTACCTGGTCATCCTCCTGCCTCTAGGTAGTGCCAGGCTTATAGCCATGCACTGGTACTCCAGCTTTCTGGTCCTTTTAAGTTGAAAGAAAGCTGGAAAATGTCAAAAAAAACCAAAAAACAAAAAAACTTGCAGCGGGGGCTGGAGAGATGGCTCAGTGGTTATTGAGCACTCTTGCAGAGGACCCGGGTTCAATTCCCAGCACCCACATAGAGGCTAAGAACTGTCCTTAACTCCAGTTCCAGGGAAATCCAAAGCCCTCTTCTGATCTCTGCAGTATTGCACGACACGGGTGCACTCACATACATGCAGGCAATACACTCATACACATAAAAAAAAAAAAAACTTGCAACAAGACCTTGACTAACATTAAATGAAGTAATTTCTCCAAAAAAAGAATAGTCACAGAAACTTTTTTTCCATAGCTCTTACTTAGCTAATTGTTCTATCATCCCCTTGGCTCTGTTGCTATATCCTCTAAGAACAAAGATCTTTCCTTCACATATTCATTTAGTATTTTTAAATCTTACTATCTGAATGTCAGTAAGTTTCCCTTAAAATATTTACAAAAAGACACGCCTTTAATCCCAGCACTCAGGAGGCAGAGGCAGGCAGATCTCTGTGAGTTCAAGGCCAGCCTGGTCTACATAGTGAGTTCCAGGACAGCTGGGGCTACAGGGAGACCCTGTGTCAAAAAAACCAAAAAAAAAAAAAAAAATTTACAAAAAGAACCTTTGGGAACCAACATCAAATTTAGCAGTTGTGGGGTCAGTGAGATGGCTCAGTGGGTAAAGTGTGTGCTCTGTAAGCTAGAAGACCTTACTTCAATTCCTGAAACCCATGTAAAGGTGAAAAGAGAATGGATTCTACAAAGTCCTCTGACCGCTACATGTGCACCCACACTCATGTCAACACATACAGAACAATAATAGTAAATTTTTAAAAATTAGTTGTTTTCCCTGGTATGTGGACTGAGGGGAAGGGGGAAGAAGATACTAACATTTTATTAAATGTTATGTTTCTGTATGGCATGATTTTATAACCCTCTCTAATTAAATTCATCTTTTGCAATTACTAACAACCAAGATGCGTCTCTCTAATTAAAACAAATAAGGTCTTCTATATTGCATCTAACTGACACTTTTCATAACACACTGACATTAGAACATACGATGGTTCATTTCATATAAATCTAGATGTAAGCTTCAGTATTTCTTGAAAATGAGTAAAGCTCAAAATTAGTACATTAAAGTAACTTCCTAAAATGAAACTTGTATTTGCAACTTACCTGTAAATACAGTTTATTGTCTTTTGTTATCGCGTCCATAAGTTCTTTCTGTAGAGGTGGGTCTCCACTGACCCAGAGTCCATTAGCTGGATTATTACTACTTGGCTCATTAGTGCTGTTTTGTTTTTTATACAAAAGCACATATGCTGTGTCTTTTGGAAATCTACTTGTAATTTTCTGGACTGACTGAAATGAAGTAAATGTCACTCTGCTGTCATTAAATAGAAACCATTCTTTTGACATTTCCTTATTTTCCAAATCCTGTTCAGTAACTGAAATGGGACTCTCTCCCTCTAGTAAATGGCACATCTGGTATGAAGACTCTGTACCTGTTATATTTCTGGCATAAGAATAGTAATGCCCACTTTCAGAGGATATACCAGAGTGAACAACAACAGAACTTAATAGGTAGGGCACCAATTTGGAACAGAAAGCTTCTTCAGTCCCAGAAGGCTTTAATTTTTTAGCTAGGTTCTCATTAATATCAGAGAAGTCAACATCTATAGACCAACTTTCTGCCAACGATGAGAAGGAAGTAGTTCTTTTAACTGGTAACTCCAACACCAGTGGCAGTGACACATTGTCTAAAATTTTTCTTCTCACATGATACTTCTGATCATATGAGAATCTCAGGAGCGTAAGAATAAGGTATTCAGGTTCCTCCGTGATTTGCATAGTTTTCTCAGCATTCTGCAGAGAGGCACATTTTTCACAATAATACTGGTTATCACCAGTAAGAATTTCTGGAGCCAAAAAATAATTTAGTAAGTCAGTTACTGAAGGTGTGGTTTCACCTCCTGGTTTCTGAGGTACATCTTTACTGAGGAGAATCTTCGCAGATTCACTAGGGACAGAAGTGTTTTCCATACAATGAAACTCATCAGGAAGACTGCCTATTATTTTTTCATTCACAATTGAGTCATAGACAAAGGCAGCTGTTGCTGGATTATAAACTACTGGTTCTTCTGGACCAGGGACACCAGTTTGCATTAGGCCATCATCTTGCACATTGGGTAATGATGCTGGATCTTGGAAAGACAAGTTTTCCATAGAAGGGGTAGGACAAAAGGCCAGTGAAAGATCCGTGAAAGCTTCCACTTTTTGTGAGGTACTCCTACAGTTCAAGCAACATATATGAGTCTGTAGTTTTCCTCCAAACATTTTTTCTATTAAAGTCTTCTCACCATCACTTGTGCAAGGGGTCTCTGCTGGTATAGCGACCTTATTGGCTACTTTTTGCAAAGTTTCACTGCACCCCAGACCCTCAGAAGGTTTGTGTGAGGACTGAGCTCTCAAGATCTTTTCTTCTTCATGGAGTCTGAAAGAGGATATATTATATAGGCAAGTTTAAATGTCATCTATATTTTGATATTGGTGGCTTATATAAGCAAGTTATTATTATTATTGTTTTGTCTTTTTGATACAGGGTTTCCCTGTATCCCCAGCAGGCCTAGAACTTACTATGTAGATCAGGCTGGCCTCGAACTCATAGAGATCCACCTGTGCTGGGATTAAAGGCATGCGCCACCATGCCTGGCTAAATAAGTTATTTTTATCAAGGATAATGCTTAATTAAAACATAAGTTTTCTCTTCTTTTAATCAAAAGTATGAACAGAGAATCTAGAAAAAAAACAGGAAACTAGTACTACTTTATTTCTCACTTTGCTTTCTTTGTACTGTTTTATAGGACATATTCCACTGCAGCTAATTATATACGTTGCTTAACTGTCTTCTATATAGCTGCCTGGTGTAAACTCAGCAGTCTAGCACAAAGAAACCAATGAACATACCCTAGCTGAAAAGGAGGAATGAAGAGGCTGAGCCCAAATGATTTCACTAGTAACTCATACAACAGAAAGGAATGTACACTGAAAAATATACAGATATATTACTTTTAATATTTATCAATAAGAAAACAGTAAAACATACTAAGCCCATATAATTATAAATTGGCTTTTAAACGTTTTCATTCCAGGGTCCCTTTGTAATCACTAAAAAAAACCCCTACGAAACCTGAGAGCTAAAGTTATTTGGGTACTATACTGGGGTGGTTTGAATGAGAAATGCCCCCAAAGCCCATGAACACTTGGTTTCCAGTTGGTGGCACTGTTTGCAAAAGGTCATGGAATGTTTAGGAGGTAGAGCTTTGCTAGATGAAGTCCATCTGTCACTGGAGGTGAGCTCTGAGGTTTTGATAGCTTGGCCCCACTTTCTGTTCTCCCTCTGTGCTTCATGTGTGGATGAAATGCAGATTGATCTCCCTGCTTCCTGACTGCCAGGCTGGTCTCAAAATCCTTGCAGCCATGCCTTCCCCACCATGGACTCTATCCCTCTGGAACTGTAAGTAAAAATAAACCTTTTCTCCTCTAAGTTGCTTTTGGTCAGGGTATGTTATCACAGCAACAGAAAAGTAACTAATACATACATATTACTGATATTTACTATATTAAAAGCCTGAGAATAAAAGTAATAAAATGATACATTTGCCAGGCGTGGTGGCGCACGCCTTTAATCCCAGCACTCAGGAGGCAGAGGCAGGCGGATCTTTGGGAGTTCAGAGCAGCCTGGTCTACATAGTGAGTTCAGGTCAGCTGGAACTACAGGGAGACCCTGTTTCAAAAAGACAAAAAAAAAAGCCCAAAAAAACAAAAACAAACCAACAAAAATAATGAGCCTGTTATCATTAATAAATATAGCATTTTTAAAATGAAAAATAATGAGAATGGTACTGTTTTACATTTTGTAAGTATTCTAAGCATCTGGCTTCAGAGAAGACAGCTGGATACTAATATCTGTATTGTATTCTATCTATTGATGCATTTTTTTAAAAGATGAAATATGTGAAGAAAAGCTGGTCTCTCATAGACTTGTAATTTGAAAAAAAAAAACAACCAAAACAAAAGACAAAAAACAAAAAAAAGCAAAACCCATAGATTTCTAAGTTTTTTGGGGAATGTTAGGAATCCTTCTATTAGACTTTGATACTTGCTCCAAAGTAAAAGAATTCAAAAAAAGAAACTAAAAGAAAACTTAAATATATAGTAAATGGAAGGATATTTTAAAGATCAACATATACACTGAAAACTAAAAATAGTATTAAGTAGAAATGAAGTGTTGAGAGAAGGCAGTTTAAATTGCAAGCTTGAATTACTTTTTACCTGTCTAGTAGAAACCTGAGGTATTCAGAACAGTCTTGCTGTGACCTGGGAGTAAACCATGGCGGCCTGGAAGCCTCAAAGAATATCCGAGGTGCATATGCTTCCCTCTTAAGAGCAGTAAAGAAAATACAAGAAAGTGATTCTTATAGCATGAACCAAGTAATGAAATCTTACTATATGATATTTAATAAAGGTTACTTAAAATATTTTATTATTTTATGTGTCTGAGTGTATTGCTTGCATGTATGTAAGTGCACCCATGTCACACAATGCCCACAGAAGTCAGATGGGGGTGTGAGATACCCTGGAACTGGGGTTACGGATGGTTGTTGGGAGCCATGTGAGTGCTGGAAATCGAACCCAGGTCTTCTGCAAGAACAGTCAGTGCTCTTACCACTGAGTTATCTCTCCAGCTCCTATTCCTTAAAACAATATTGTACACATTGTACTCTATCTTTCCTAAAAAGTGTCAGACATGGGGGCAACTCAGAAGCTGAGAAAACAAGTTTAAGCTAAGTAACCTTTAGTCACAAGTTCTCACCTCTGCAGAGCTGATACCCAAAGAAGCTATGAGCCTTGCTCAGGTCAAACAGCTAAATGAACAGCAGGAGAGATTACACTTGAACTCAGATATTTCAGACTCTCGATATGCACTGTTTGTGGTATTCATCCCTCTAAGACAGTCATGTATTTGAATCTCTAAGTTTTCGAAAAATAAAATGTGATAAAGATGTGTTAATGAACATGTACTGTGGATCAAGTAATTAGGAGCAATGCATATCTACTTCAGTTGAAAATTCCTCTGTGTGGGCACATGCCATACATGTGCAGAATGGGAGCACTTGGGTTAGGGATCTTGCTAATTTTCTTCTCTCTTAAAAAAAAAGTACAGAGGCAGTTTAATCTAGTGGTTGATCATGAACTTTGGGATCATCTAGACTCAAATCCTAGATTTTGCCATAAAAAAGAAAGAAATAGACATATGAAAAGATCTGATAATGACCTGAAAATCTGAAATTCTCTCAATATTTTGAATATTTATGGCATTTATCAATAGTGCCATTCTCAGTTAAGGAAACTTTTACACACGTTAGGAAGAAAGTTCAGCATACTAGTTGATTGCCAACTTCAAGTTAGGCTCATTTTTTTTTTTTTAGCAAACTGGAGATATATATATATATATATTTTTTACCAGACAGATTGGTTTTGAGGATAAAGAAATAAAAGACTCTGTACGAGGGCTAGAAAAATGTTAATGCTTGGTAAATATTAGCTTTACTAATAAGAGAAAAAGGCTTTGCAATTATTTAGGGAAAGCTACCTACCTAAAATAATCCCTGTTGTTCTGCTACCAGAGAAGGTCTCAACTGTCATAGAACTTTAATTAGGCTTTCTTGTTAATTTCTTTCTTCTTTTCTTGAAAGCCGGGAAACCTCCTAAGGTTTTCTTTCCTAATAGCTCTGATTTAGTAAGTTAATATAGTATATATATCTGCACAAATATACATACATATACATTTTTATGTATAATATAGTAAATATAGAGTAGTGATAAATACAGAAATCAAATTACTAGGACACAATGGGAGAGGGTAAAGCTAGGGATCTTTTTGGTTGTTGTTTAATCACAGTCTAGTATTGCTTTGCAGTCAAGACTAGCCTTAAGACTTTTGTCTGATCCTCCTATCCCAGATGCCCAAGTACTAGGAGTACAGGAATATGCGACCATACCCGGCGAGGAGAGAGCGTTCATTCCCCCTCAGTATTAATAAAGCCATCATTATCATATCTCAGTCCTGTTTTGATGCTTTCCATTTAATAAGCTATATTTGACCTGCAATCCTAGCACTTGGGAAGCAGATGTAGAGGCAGGAGGATCAGGAGTTCAAGGCCAGCCTTGGCTACATCGTTTGAGATCAGCCTGTGCTACATGAAACCCTGTCTCAAACAAATAAGTTATACTTGAGATATCTCTCAGCTTGTAGATGGAAAACAGGAGATTCCAATTAACTCAAGTCTTATCAGTTCTGAATCTCTATTCTGGTTCTAGTTACTGTTTTGACAGACCTCTGTAACACAACTGCAATTCGAGTAAAACCAGAAAACAATATACATTATATGTGATGGACGTATATAATTTCTATGTATGTTCAAACCTAATTTAGATTCCTTGAAAACATGGTTTCCCCTTTAACTCTTATAAGAGACTCCATATAGCATCTCTCAATGTCTGTCTGTCAAATGAATTATGTGACCTTCAGTCATTGCCATAATTTATTTCCTTATATTACTTTGTGAATATAAAAGATCACTATAAAATAAATCACTACATTTTAATTTCAAGAACCTAACAGATAATAGATCTGTAATTGTAATGAAAGGTACATATTAGAAAACAGAGAAAAAAAAGCCTAGCACCAGAAAATTATTTTAGTTGTTCATATTTGTGCAAACTAAATCAAACAAGCTAACAAATAAAAACTAAACCCCCAAACAAAAAACACATACATGTAATTCTTTTTGTTTTGAGAGAAGGTCTTTCTATACAGCCCAGGCAGACCTTGAACTCAGGGCAATGTTCCTGCCTCACCCTTTCAGAGTGCTGGGATTACAGTCAGATACCACCACATCCAGCTTTAAAATTATTTCTGTATTAAGAGATTTATTGGATAGGAAATCAAACTTTATGCATAATAGCTTTTAGGACAATAGATCAGCTTAGTATTTATCTATAAGGATGGGAAGCAGGGAGAATAAATAAAAACTCTAGATATTTGAGACAGCATCCCTTTAGAATTTCTAAGTGAATTGCTGCCTTGGGTAAGATATGTGATATATCATTTCATCAGTTAAAAAGGTTCATAATAATAAGTAGTTTACAAAACATTATCATGAAGTTAATATACATACACTACACACATATACTCACCTGTGTATGAGCCAAGAAGGCAAAAAGATGCTGTAATTTTTTCATTAATGAATTGCGCCCATTTAGATTTAAAGATAATACTTGTCTTCTGAAACTGAAAGAGAAGTATTTGTTATACACTAATACATGCACTTAGAAAAAAAACCTAAAGGAAACTAGGTTTGAATTTATTATCTTCAAAGTTCCACTTCACTTCCATGATAGTCCACTGTTTATCAAAGTTAATGGTACACCTGTAACACAGTGAGGGAGGGGAAGATGACAGTAAGTAGATACTACCATGTGGCCTGGCATGGTCTACATACTGTTCTACTTCTATTTCCTGGGCTAACAAATGTAAATAGGCTAATATATTAACTTATAACTTACAAAAGCAACTTTTAAATCTTTTAAATATTCATGCATCAAAAAAATCTTAGATACATTTTAAAGTTAGGGTAATTTAAAGAAATGTGGTACAGGACTGGAGAGATGGCTCAGTGGTAAAAGCATATACTGCTCTTGAAGAGGACCAGAGTTTGGTTCCCAGGACCCATGCTGGACAGCTCAGTTGCCTTTAACTCCAGCTCCAGGGGATGTGATGGCCTCCAAAGTCACCTATAATCATGTGCACATACCCACACACAGACACACACAGACACATACACATGCCTAAGAAAATAAAAACACAGCTTAGAAAATTAGTGTGGCCCAAGCCAGGTGTGACGGCATACACCTGTAATTTCATCACCCAGAAAGATGAGAGAAAGAAGAGTATGCATATGAAACCAGCTTGGAGTAGACAGTGAGCTCCAGACTGATCATGGCTATAGAGACTCTAGCTGAAACAAAAGAAAAGAAAACAAAACAATTCAACAACAAAATGAACTATTCAAAAACACAGTGCAAGAAGCAAGAATAATTGATTAAATATTTGGAAAAAAATCATTATCAAGTAAAGAAGGGGGAATTTCTATGGGTCTGAAATACAGACAATACAAAAATGGAAGATGTGGCTACATAAAATTACATATATCTAAAAATAAAAAACACTATCTAAATTTGAATACATCCCTGGAAGAAAGCATGAGTCATAGGATTATCATGCAGAATTTATATAAACCAACATTAAAAACAAAGAACTATACAGGAAGACACACAAAGAAAAGGTCGCTCATTTGTTTTGTTCTTTTGAGTAAGGAGGGGAAAATTCTAAAATGGTCAGCAATATGCAAATAAAAACAAAGGAACCTGAGTACACACTGTGTGCCTATAGTCAGTCCCAAATACTCAGGAGGCTGAGGTAGAAGCTTCATGAATTTGAGGCCAGGCTGGGAAACACAGCAAGACACTATCAGCAAGACACTTATTAAATCAAGTACCATCAAGAGGTATGGGATCACAAGTACAATCATATATTAGTAGATAAGTTAAAAAATTGAGCTGGGGAGATGGCTCAGTGGGTCAAGTAAGGACCTGAATTCACATCCCCAGTATTCATGTAAAAGCTGGGCATGAATGCCTGCATCTGTAACCCCAAGTGCTTGAAGGCAGAGATAGGTGAGTCCTGGGACCTTGCTGGCCAGTCAGCCCGCCTAGCTGAAAAGGGGAGCTCCAGGTTCTGCGAAGAACCTCACCTCAGAAAAATCAGGTGAAAAGGTAGTTGAGGAAGATACTGCAACATCAACCTCTGGCTTCCACATGATCTTTCATGGGAAAGAACATTTATACCACAAACACAGACACAGACACAGACACACACACATGGGAAGGGGTGGGGAGACTCTTAAAGCATTTCAAAGGAAAGCAATTTGGCATCTTCTGTTCAAAGAAAATCTTATCTGCACGTGGCTAGAGAAATGTTATTAGCAAAACAATCCGATAAGGAGTATGGTTAAGTAAATGCCAGGGTTGATGAGATGGTTCAGCTAGCAAAGAGCCTGCCATGCAAGCCTGATGACCTGAGTTTGATCTCTGGAACCCACATAAAGGTGGAAGGAGAACGGACTCCACAAAGTTGTCCTTTGGTCTTTACACGTGTGTTATGCCATGCATGCTCCCACCCCACGGTAATTAAACAAATTTAAAATAAGAAGATAAATCATGTCATACTCAGTCAATCAGATTCACATTGTTCTTACTTCCAACACAGTTATTAAATGCTAAAAGCAAGTGGCTGGCAAGGAATAGGATTCTCTAAAATTAAGCAATCCAGGTGTTTTTGTATTAAATACTGATTTATAATCGTACAAAGATGGCCTGGAATAATGCACATAAAACTGATAAATTTTGAGAACAGGTGTGTAATTTTTACAATATATATTTATAGAGTCAGTTTTTTTAACTTAACCACAAAAAAGAAATCATATGTTATTTGAGAAAAAATGTTATGCTATTCTGATATACCATTATTGGCACCATAAAATAAGACATGGTTTGAACTGTTCCTGTCAGCTACATTGCTTTCATGTCTCTGCTTTCTGACATATATAAAATAAAATGGTTGGCCAGATGACCTCTAGTGGTCATATATGGACTGTTTAGTCTTATATCTAATAGTCTATGATTTCTCTGGGCAGGTGTTAACAACTTGCAACATCTTTTGGAGAAGTTCTACAAATATGTTATTGGTATTATAAAATTCAAATTCAACCACATTTCGGCTTTTAGGAAAAGTTATTTTGTGCTTTCAAGGACAGCATTTTTTTTTTTTTTTGGACAGGGCCTCATGTAGCCCAGGCTGGTCCTGAACTCATTATGTAGTCAAGGATGACTTTCAACTATTGATCCTCCTGCCTCTACCTCCCAAGTGGTGGGATTACAGGCATATACCACTAAGCTGGGTTTTACAAGGTACTAGGGATTGAACATGGGGTGCTACATGCATGCTAGGCAGGCACTCTACCAACTGAGCTATATCCCCAGCCCAAGGATGACATTCTTCTAACAATGAATTCTCATTTATTTGTTTGCATACAAAAGAAGATGGCTTTGAAAAGTTCACAAAAGGGCAAAGGAACATGCCTATTTATACATTTGTCTTGTAACTATCATGCTCGGGTAGAAACAGAGTTTATCTCTGCTCCCCTTTTTTTAAATTAGGGGAACGTATGAAGACCCCACTACCACAAATCATGCAGTTGAATTCCCATATTTGGAGAAATCACAGGGGTCAGCACATCCAGAGTGCAATGGATAAGCACTGCTTGGGAAAACCACCTTTGTGAGCATATCATCTCCCCTGCCAGGTACACTCCAAAAGACATATGGATTAAAAAAACACGGTGGGATAACAGAAACAAAGATACAGGAAAAGAGCACTGAAGTATTCTAGGGCACTTACACCCTTTGGAATAGGTTCAGTCAATCCCTTGATTACATTATTAAATATTAAGGCACAGTGATTTAAAAAATAATAGCACTGTAAATACAGAGTGCAATCTAATCACATAGAATTTACATGTTGGCATTTCAATACTTCCTAAACATTAGAAGCAGCTTCATTTCTGAATGAGGCAACTGGACATCAATGTTAACACTTAGGACATTTATAAAGAATGAGCAGACAATCCTCACCTTCTCATGTTTCATCAGCATGTACTAATTTCTAGTTAAAATTCAAAGGTTCAAATTAAACTTACTCTGTAGCCATAAACAATGCTTGTATAACACTATTCATATAACACGTATTTCCTAGGTTGATAAGACCAGTTTTCCCAGTTTCAGATTTTCCAGAAAGTCTAGACAAGCAAGATGCCAAAGCATTGGATTGAGAAGTCCAGGCACTTTGATTGAGAATCAACTTAATCTTCTCTTCACTGGGCTTAGGAAAATCCTAATTCATAAAAAGAAAAGACAATTGAAAAATAAAGTAAAAACTAATTTTGTTATTAAATTAACAAACACCATAATGAGACTCTTCCACTGACACTTAAGGTTTCTTTGCTCCCACTTAGTTTGAGATCACTGACAGCACTTGGTTAGTCATTAAAAAATCAAATTACAGCTGGGTAGGGTGGCATGAACCTTTAATCCCAGTACTCTGGAGGCAGAGCAGAGGCAAGAAGATCTCTAGGAGATCCAGGAAAGACTTGTCAATATAACCAGTGCCAGGCCAACTGGGGCTACAGAGAGGCTCTGTCTCCAAAAAAACAAAACAAAACAACAAAACAACAAAAAAAATACTTCATGCCTGAGCAGTGGAAAATAAGGAAAATTGGAAAACTCATTTCCACTTAAACAGATAGCTTTTTTTAGACTGAGAGCACCATCTAATACTCAGACCATAGAAAATAAACCTTTAAAATGGAATTTTAAACTTCAAACCTCTTTTGTTGTTGTTGACAGCTGTGAGAAAATACTTAGGAAGAACTATGGCTATTAACGTAGAATGGTGAAAGCAAATAAGATTATGTCCTAGCGTTAATGACATCTCACTTTAACTGCATTTTTTAAAAAGAAAAAGCTTATTTCTGTAAAATAATAAACTGAATAGTTGGCTGTAGAAATGTTCTACCACAATTTCCCATTATACTATAGTGTGTAACTCACAAATATTGGCACAACTATCATCATACCTTTACTGCCTCCAGAATAGGTTCGTAGAGATCTGGAAATCCAGAATAATGATACATCATACAGTGTATCAACTCTGCTAACTGCACTAAGAAGGCTGTACTGGAAGGCAAGCCATCACTTTTCAAAGAGTGAACCAGATTAACTACATGGGGGACAATCTGAAGAGAAAAAAGACAAATATTTCTTAATATACAAACTGACAGCATATCCTCCAACCTACAAATAGAATGCAAATGTATGATCAGCACATATGTATCTCTATATTTCATCATAGCCTTTTTCTAAAGAAGTTATAGACATTTTGGAATAGCAAGGTAAGTCTACTTTCTGAAATCATATCTTGATTATACTTACATTAAAAAATCATTTTATTTTTTAAATTTATGTGTGTGTCTGTGTATCTGCCACATTTGTGTGAGTGTCTGCAGAGGCTGGAAGAGGGTGTAGGATCCCCTGGAGTTGGAGTTAGAGGTGACTGTGAGCTGCTTGACATGGGTGCTAGGAACTGAATTAAAGTCCTTTGGAGCATCAGCAAACATGCTTAATTGTGGAGCCATTTCTCCAGCCCCTGTTAATTGCATTTAATATGCCTTTTTTTCTGGCTCAGTGGTTAAGGCAGTTTGCCACCAAACCTGATAATCTGAGTTTGATCCCTGGAACCTAATTGGTAGGAGAGAACTTACACACACAGATATGCACACAAAAGCATTTTTAAAAGGGCTGGCAAATTGCTCAGTACGTAAAGATGCTTGCCACCAAGCTGAGGACCTGAGTTCGATCCCCAGGACCCACAAGGTAGGAGGAGAGAATTGACTTCTGTAACTTGTCTTTTGGCTTCCACATGCATATCATGGTACATGTATGCATGTACACACACACACACACACACACACACACACACACACACAAATAAATGTTAAACACTATGCTAAAAACATAATATGCTTCTCTTATTTTAAGCACAAACTAAGGTATAAAACACTATTTTTAGTCCTTGCTGAATTAAAAAAAATTATTTTTGTGGGGGGAGAGCTAAGTCTCAAACTACAGCCTTGTGTATGCCAGGCAAGTGCTCTACTATTGTATTCCCAACCCCCCCAAATTTTTTAATACCACATCGAAACTCTGACAAAACCCTAAACTGGAATTGGCTAAAGAGCTCCATCTAGTGTGAGAATAAAATTTTTCAAGGGAAAAAGTTATACATACTTTGCATAGTGAAGACTTCAAGAAAGCCTTATTTTTTTTTTTTAAGAATTTATATATTTAACTAATATGTAACTAAAATGTGCCCAGATAACAAGATTACATTTTTTCTTTGAAAAGTACAGGGATGATGTCTAATTTACAGAAATGCCTAATAATTAGTATGATAGTATGCTTTTCCAACTAATTATTATTAGTGTAATTTGATACTATATATTTATACTTCTGAAGGTAAAGGCATCTTTATGTTCTATTTGCAAAGCAGCTCTTTGCTTCTAACTCCTGATAAAGTCAATTCACACCTCTGGCAGGGACAGGTCATCATACGGTACTGTTCCAATCAGCAATCAGCTACCTTTCTCGGCCCTTCCTCTGCCCAAAGAGTCACATAAATCAGATTTTTAAATAAACAGTGATTTCTAATCTGCTCTGTCTAGATTTATTCTTGTGCCAAATGTATTAAGTCATATTGTAGCCTCTACATTACCTTCTTTAATTTTTACCTCTAACAGAGCGGTGGACATGGCCAACATATGACATCTCAATACCTATAAAGTATTTTAGAACTGTGCAATTGAGTTCAAAACAAAGCAAAACAAAACAAACAAAATAAGACAAAAAAGGTTGGGCTCAGTGGCCCACACCTTTAATCCTAGCACTTAGTAGGAAGAGGTACTCAGACGTCTATGAGATCAAGGAAAGCTTGGTCTACATACCAAGTTCAAGGCAAGCCAAACACAAAAACTCATGTTTTAAGTACATGATTTTAAAATTTTAATTTTTTCCTAATTTTGTCCTTTACAATTTCATTCATGTACATAAGCACTCTAATTACTCTTACCTCATGTACTCAATTATCTCCCTTGTGCCACTGTCAAACTGCCATCTGCCCAACAAATCTCTTTTCAAGTAAGTTTACAATTTTGTACTGGGCCACACTCATAGCTATCTTTGGCTATGTGTGGCTGCATGCAGCTTGGACATGTCTGTTACCAGTTCTTAATGAGTTCATCTTATTGCTATCATCTGTCTCTGTCTCTGTCTCTGTCCCTCCCTCTGTCCCTCTGTCCCTCTCTTCTTCCTCCCTATCTTGAGGATCCAACCCAGGGACTCCTGCAAGCTGGATGAGGGATCTAACACTAAGCAATATTCCTAGCCCTCATCTCTATTATTTCTAAACAAATCTTAATGATGAATTTGCCCCGTAAGACTACAATCTGTCAGATACTTTTTTGCTAAAATAGTCTGAAATCCAAAATGATTTTGTTTCCTTAGAGGTGAAGGAAGAGAGAGATGAAAGAAAAAAAGAATGTTTAAAATGGAATTTATAGGTCTAAGTCATTCCAAAGCTTTTCTACTATAGACTTGGTCTTGGCAATCAGGTTATAGTTGTATGCTATTAAGTCCTAAATGGGTAGTATCATCACTGACATAGAAATAGGACTTTAGTTCTCCACAGTTACACAGACAGATTGCTAAGCAAGATGCTACCTTCTAAATACTTTCTCTGAATGTGTGAAATTAAATGTCTTTAGACACTATTATAATACACATTAAATATACTAATTGCTATTTGAGGCAATGTATGCAACTTATTTAATTAATAGCTGGTATTTTTGTTTCTTCATTTTAACTATCCACCTTAGCATCTAAAATTATTTTTTTCCATTCATAAAAAGTATATGATGGGTCTGGAGAGATGGCTCAGAGGTTAAGAGCACTGAATGCTCTTGCAGAAGACCCAGGTTCGATTCCCAGCAACCACATGGTGGCTGCAAACTGTCCTTAACTCCAGTTCCAGGGGAAACTGAAACCCTCTTCTGATATCCACGGCACTGCACGACTCGGGTGCATTCACACACAGGCAGGCAATACACTCATACATATAAAATAAAAATAATAAGTAAAAAATAATTTAAAAATATGAATAGCAACTTGGCCCATAACAATATCACTCTTGGTTCCCCCTAAACTTTTCTAGACACTTAATGTGCTGACTGATCTATTCAATTCAGGTTATTACTAGACTTGGTCAGCCTTGCATCCAAGTCCAACACTTGATTAATTGGAGATGCTGTTAATTGAACTACCACATGCCCCGTTACTAGATGCACGAGCTAGTTTTAGCTGAGCAGACAGTATATTGAGTACGTAGGCAACAATCAGGTTTGGCTTTTAGGCCTAAATTAGATCCTAATTTTCAAATTTCAAACCTAAATATTCCTTAAATAGGTGATATGAAGCTTGGTTAATCTCAATAGACAAAATATCAAAGTCAAACATTTGTTATTTCAACTACTTTTTTCAGAAGGGAAAAAAAAAGCAATCTAAAAGGCAAGTATTTATTTTTCATCCTTTAAAAAACCGTGAGAAAAACAAATAGGGTTGGAGTACAGTCTAAGTAATTAATCACAGATTAAGGAATGCCTCAGTATGAAAAGCAATAAACAGAATAGGTGACTAAAGTATGTCATAGACTCTGTTTCCTAGAAACTTTGGAAAAGAAGTCTTTTCTCAAATGGCCCCTATCAAACTGTGCCTAAAGACAAGGACAAATACTTGATGTTTTCTCTTCTGGAACACTTTGCTAGTATCTCTGTTAAATTTCTCAAATTTGAGATTTGTTTGACAAAGAATCTTACAGTTTCACCATTAGTCTCACCAAAATGAGAGCAATGGCTACAAAAATCACTCATTCAAAATGTGAAATCTGAGTTAATGCTAACGTTTGCTTCAAACAATATCTGTGGATTTCCCCCAAAGGAAGAGACATTGAGTGGCCCGTGTGGATATGCTTCTCCTAGGCTGTACTACTAGCTGAACTCTTCACTTCTTCATCAGTCTCCCTGAATTCTGTTGTGGTATATTAGTATCCCTAAGATGGAGGATGTACTGTGATGAGTTTCTATTACTGTAAAACTGAGGATCAGCCCCCTTGGGCAAAGCAGGTAATCTCATGAATGCTTTCCTGTGATGATCTAGACAGGTAAATGGGCAGAGTCCAAAATACCATTTTGTCATTCCTCATCTTCACTGACTCACAAATAATTGAAACCAAATCAAAGCCAGCAATGGAGCTGGCTGTGAGTGCTGGAAGTGTAGACATAGTTTAAAAATGGAGCTAGGAGACTGGAAGGCAAGCTAAATCTCTGGTTAAAACATGTTTTCCTGCTTTCCAAACTGGACAGTCAGTAGTTTTCAGCCACTTTAATCCTGCACTTTCCATATGTGTAGACAGTCCAGCAAAGGCATCTCCCAGTGGGGCAGTAGCTTCCATTGTTTACAATGACTGGAAGTGGGGCAGTTTTGGAGAAGCACAAACCTTTTTGAAAATGTATTCTGTGGAGAGATATTCCACAAGCTCAATTTTCTAAGGAGCTGTAAAGCTATATGAAAACAGGTACAAGCTAATCTACAATCTTTTCTTTATAGAGCTATGTGAGCTACATTTTGCAAACAAGGTTTTTCTAGTGTAGAAAGCCTGTATTTCACTTACCAAATGGAAAGCCTCTGGAGAATGCTGGAAGCTGAGCAGCATGTGAGAAAGAACTGCGAGAGCACCAGGCCTCACGAGAGGAAACCAAAGTCGGTTAAAAACCTGCAGAACAGGACACCCATCCTGAGTTAATAAGAACAGCATTCATCCAGTCGTTATTTCCACAAGGTTATTTATGTGACTGTCCCCATTCCTGGAAAGTCTTATCAGAATATATGTTATTAGATTTGGGGGGAGAAGGAAAAAGCAAGTAACCATATCAGTAAGATCAAGGAGAATTTTATGGCCTAATCAATTTTCAAAACTCTCTGATTAAGTGAAAATATGTCAAAGTTCTAAAATAAGATACAGCATTCCGATTCACTATTCAATTTATTCAATACACATTTTGAGGCTGTGCGCAGTTATGCACACCTTTGATCTCAGCACTCAGGAGGCAGAGGTACATAGGTCTCTGTGAGTTCAAGGCCAGTGTGATCTACACTGCCAGTTGCAGGCCAGTCAGGGCTACATAATGAGACCCCCATCTAAAAACAAACAAACAAAACAAACAATTATTTATTGAACACATACTATTGTTTAGCACTGTTTCAGGTCCTGGGAAAACAATACTGAATCTAAAAGAATCTCAGTCATACACAGCTTATGGTCCAGAGGACATGTAGATAAAAAGTAACAAACTGTGTGTGATAAGGAGTGAAAAAAATATAGAGTACTATGAACAGGAATTACTGGGTGGCAAAGGAGTCTGTTATTTTATAAATGGTGTTAAAAATATCTCATGAAAACGGACTATAAAGCTGAAGGATATGCTACAAGCCTAATGGGCACCAAGCACAAGAGTATTCACAGACACGGCAGACAGTACTGCAAAGGACCCAGGTGTTCCAGACTGGGGTGCCAGCGATGTATCAAGGGCAGTGTCACTGAAGCAAGGACAGTGTCACTGAAGCAAGAGATAAAAACTAGAGATGGGGTAAGAGAGGTCTTTTGTAACATTTATAAAGAACCAAAGGAGGCCACTGAAATCTATGCAACAAGACTGATGACTTTGGACCATGGTAACAGTGATGTAACTGGCTAAAAGTGGTAGAATTCAGGGTATAGTTTAAAAATGGAGTTAGTAGGATTGGTAGGACAGGGGCTGAGAGATAATGAAGAGAAGTAAGGATAGCTTCAAGGATGATGGCCTAAGAGAATGGAAGGATGGAATAGTATTTACCAAAATGGAGAAGACTAGGTTTGGGAGAAAATATTGTAAATAAGACTGTGGATAAGGTGAATGTGAGGTTTGAGTACAGGCTACCCCTTTCTAAGTACAGACTGCCCCCTTACTACTTTCACTTTCTCTTGCTACAATAAATCTTTTGAGATCTTGCCAGATGTTGCCTTTGAATTGTCTCACCCTCTGAAAAGGATTCCCATTGCTGTGTGCCCAGCCTGCCCTCAGTTCTTGGAACAGCCACTTTGTTGGGGGAAGTCCCTGTGCTTGCCCTGATCCCTGCAATTCCATCTGTATGATCCAAGTGGGATCTGCCATTCGTTCTCCAAGCAGGCCAATTGGAGTTTCCCCTGGGATTTCCACATTAGAATCCTGGTCAGAGAGATAGAGAGAGGAGAGAGAGAGAGAGAGAGAGAGAGAGAGAGAGAGAGAGAGAGAACCTGAGCTTAGATGACTGAATACATGGATATGGAATTTGAGAGAGAACAATGAACAAAATAGGTCTCTGCCAGCCTTTATGCTGCACACCTTCTATGATTGCTGCATGGCACAAGGCACCTACACTTACAGTAGGTATGGACTGAGCTCTAAGGCAGTCTAAAAGTTAGAAAGGAGACTGGCATGCCAGTGAAAGACAAAACTCAAGAGAACTAATGTCTTGGAAATTAAGTAAAGAAAGTGTTTTTTAAAGTGAAGAGATTTGGCTGAGGATGTGGCTCAAGGGGTGGAGCACCTGCCTAGTCCTGAGCTTTATCCTTAGCACTGGGTAAAATCAAAACAAAGAATGGTGATTAATTGTATCCTGGGTTTGGCAACATGGAAAGCCCATCCTGAAAGGTAATTTTGGTAGGCTGATAGTGGTAGAAGCTTGATGAGCTGGATTCGAGAGCTAATGGGAGGTAGGCATGGTGCTGCATACATGCATCCTACTAGCTGTGAGGCTGAGGCAGGAGGATGAGTTTGAGGCTACACAGTAAAACCTTGTCTCGAAAAGAAAAAAAAAAAAAACAAACCATCATCAACTGTTTTTACATTAAATGCTTGAAAACAACAAATTAATTTTAATCGTCTATCCCAAAATGTCAGTGACTTTTTCCCTTAAAGTCTATTTAGAATGAAAATACATTTCAATAGATTGAGCTGCTTTCACTCACCAGTTCTATTTTCAGCAAAGTAACATCTATCAAAATAGTAAACTTCTGAACAGCTGCGAGTCCTTTCAGGAGAGCGATCACCCATGTATCCACATGCTGAGCCAATGGCCAAGACAGCCAGTCAATCATTCTGAAATTTAATGAAAAACACAACTATCAGGACTTACAATATTTTCAGCATTATTTAGTTAGGAATAGCAAGAGTATAACAGAAAACCACTCACTTTGTGACTCACTACTTCCTAAGCTTTCAGTAAAAAGACACAGAAATGAGAAAAACTGTGGCCTATCTTCAGGGAGTTAGCAATCTTGTAATCTGACAGTTCCTTTATTTGATACATTCCCATAGAAACATTTCTCATAAATGCCAAATTTTAAATGGATGCTATATAGGGATCTCAAGAATTTATTAAACTTACTGTAAAAGGAGTTTAAGTACAGACATCTGAACTAAGATGAGAGTATCAAACAAGCTTTTGCTTTCCTCGTAAGTAATACAGTATGAAACATACTATAAAAAAGGCTACATTTGGGGTTGTGGAACAAGTGTCTTCGTCTTTTTCACAATCTTACACACAATGACAAGAGAAGAAATATTCAAATACATAAAAGAACATTGACTGCATAAATATTCTAATGACTGAATTTTTGATTAATGAGTGTCTTCCTTCTTAAATATTAACCCAGTTCAATGGAAAAAAGACATAGTAAAATGGGGTCTGATGGAGATTATTCCTAAAGTTAGCTATAAAGCAGAATGAAACCTACTACAACTCTTTTGGAAAGCAGCCAGGCTATATGCTCATGTAATTTGCTCCAGTAATCTATTTTAGAGGATTAACTACTAAGAAAATAGTAGGGAAAGACACTCTTCAGGTTTTTGAAGTCAGGGTGACTAGCTTAAAAATCTCAATTCACAATTTATCAGCTGGGGAATCAAAATAGCTTACTCTTCCTCTCACTTATAGAAATGCATGCTTATTTTACAGGGCTATTAAATAAATTCAGAACACTGGAAATACTTATTATGAATGTATCCCTCCAGTAAATATTAATATGGGGGCAATAAACATCTTAAAATTTTTTTTCATTACTGTTGTATGTGAGCATGAGCTCACATGCACATATAACATGGTGCCATGTGTGGAGGCTGGAGGTCAACTTTGTGGAGTTGGCTCTCTCCTTCCACCTTTATGTGGTTTCTGGGGATCAAACTCAGGTTGCTAGGATTATGTAGCAAGTGCCTTTACCTGCTGAATCAGCCCAACAATAAACATCCTGATTGTACAAAATGTCAAATATAAATACCAAGGACATAAATTTATGAGTTAAAAGAACAACTATTATGCTAAAAGGACTGACATCTAAATTAGTCTGGCTGTTTTCACAAAAGTGGTATATATAATCTACATTCATACTGGAATATGACCTTTACAAAGTTCTTTATTTTTGCCTTTGAAATAGGGACTCACTCTGCTGCCTAGACTGGCCTCAAACTTGTGGCAATCCATCTGTCTCAGCCTCCCAAGTGTTGGGTTTATAGGTATGCACAATCAGATTTTTGCTTTTAAAATTAAAATGTCCCAACAAATATAAAATGTGGTTCCCAAAGTTCAATTGATATTATTGACTGCCAGCTATATGGACAATCCCTCTATCCCCCTGTATACAAATCTTATCTTTCTGCTTTTTCTGGCTTCTTCCAACAATGACAGTTACAAGTTATTGAATCACTTGCTGATGGCTATTCTGTACCTTCAACTACTATAGGGCTGATTTTCAGAAACTTTTGCAGTCATTATATATACATAAAGAAAGAAGAGACATATTTGTATTTCTGTATAAAGTATTTTCATGTTGGGGTTCAGGTAAGTAGCTGAGTTGATGGAGTGTTTGTCTAGAATGGACAAAGTCTTGGTTCAATTCTTAGCACTTTACAAACCAGGTATGGTGGCATATGCCTGTAATCCCAGAACTTGGAAGGAGGATCAGAAGCTCAAGGTCATCCTCAAGTACATCTTGAATTCAGGGCCAACCTAGGATACATGAGACTCTTTCTCAAAAAATTAAAAACAATGCAGGCATGGTGTCACACACCTTTGACCCCAGCACTCAGGAGGCAGAGCCTGGTCTCCATAGTGAGTTTCAGGTCAGCTGGGGCTACAAAGAGACCCTGTCTCAAAAAGACAAAAAAAAAAAAAAAAAAAAAAAAAAAAGAAGAACAAGCCAGACATGGACATGGTGGTGCATACCTTTTATCTTAGTATTTGGGAGTCTAGGAGGGTAAGGAAGGTGGCTCTCTGAGAGTTTGAGGCTAACCTGCTCTACGTAGAGGAAGTTCCAGGTGAGCCAGGGCTACACAGCGATACTCTGAGTTCTAATTTGGTTTCTCTTCCTGTGACAAACAACATGACCAAAGCAACTTGGGAAAGAAATGCTCCACTTCATTCAGTATCATTGAGGGAAGCCAAGGCAGGAACTCAAGGCAGGAACTTGAAGCAGAAAGCACAGAGGAATGCTGCTTGCTGGCTTGCTTTAAGTTCAGCTAACTTTCTTACACATTCCAGGCCCACCTGCCTAGGGATGACACTGCCAATAATGGGCTAGGACTTTCTATATTGATTATCAATCAAGAAAATGTCCCACAGACATGAGGAGGAGGGGGAGGAGAAAGAGGAAGGAGGAAAAGGAGGAGTATATTCACTGTAGCATTGTTTAAGACATGGTTGAACTACAAAAACCCTAAATATCCACCAATAAGGAAAAGATAAATGTTCTCTAATATTGATAATGTAGAATACTAGAGTTTTAAGAATGAGGTAGAATGAGATATGAATTTATCCATGGCAACCTAAAATAGAAATATTTGATGGCTCTTTTGTAATCCCAGCACTTGGGAACTTGAGACAGGAGGACTGCCATGAGTTTGAGTGTAGCCAGTGCGGCACAGTGAGCTCTGGCCAGTCTGGGTAGGGTACAGAGTGAGGCACTGCCTCAGCCCATCATCTCCTCCCCACAAAGATATGAAATAGTGTTAAATTAAAAATAATACTGACATGCCTTAGCAATTAAGAGCATTATCCACTCTAGCAGAGGACCTGCGTTTGGTTCCCGGTTACATGGCGGATAGCGACCATCCATAACTCCAGTTCCAGGGGGATCTGACACCCTCTTCTGACCTCTGTGGACACTGCACTACACGGGTGCACTTACATACATGCAGGCAATACATTCATACACTTAAATAAAACTAACAAATATTAAAAAATATAAAAATCAATACCAGTAGCTTGTTTGTGTAAGGAGAGAACTGATTAGAAAGAAGAATAGGCAGGGAAAAGTTCACTTGGCAATGGTTTTTTATTACTATTAATCTTTTAATCAGCCATGTCTTTAATTTTCCTTTTCTTCAGCCTTCCCATCTGAATAAATCTCCACTCTACTTATCTCAGATTTAGAAATTATAAGGTGTTATGGTCTGAATACTTCTTAAATTTATGTGTTGAAATCTAATTTTGAATCAGGAAGTAAGGCCTTTGGGAGGTGGCTAAGACATGACTGACACTACCCCACACATGGGATTACTGTGCTTATAAAAGATGCCAATGGGAGCACCTCTGCACCTTCCACCATGCAAGGATACACAGAAGGCTCCATGGTGTCTAGATCAAGGAATTTTCTACTCATCTCTAAGAAATGTGTTTCTGTTTATAAATTACCTAGTCTAGGGTATTTTGGTATAGTGGTCTAAAAAGATTAAGATGTACATCATTCATGTAGGGTGTGGTGGCATAGCCTTTAATTCCAGCACTTGGGAGGCAGGGACAGGCCGATCTCTTTGAGACTGAGGCCACTCTGGTCTATATAGTGAGAACTAGGCCAGCAGGGGCTATAGGGATACCCTTCCCTAAAAAATAAAAAAACAAAAGATGTGCTATTCATGAAAAAATTATTTGAATGTTTATTACATTCAAATTTTTAAAATACATAATTCATTCTTTATTACTAAATAAATTGCTTTATTAAAGCTAGTACTGTATTAGGCACTGAGACTGTAACAGTAAGATATGCTTTCTACCCTCAAATTGGAAAGAAAAGCCAAACAAGTATCACCCAGTACTACTGATATTTGAACTAAGCTTTGCTGATGTAGAATGTGAATTTATTTTGTGTAGTTTAATTTTAACTGTAGTACTCATTTATGTATTTCGGTCTTATCTCCTCTAGTAGACCATAATTTAAGAGTAGTGATTCTGTTGTTTTCATCTAATACTGTGGGGATCCCTAGTACTTAGCACAGGGCTTGGCACTGATTATTGGGAGCTCATTTGATGAACAAATAAAACCGTTTATTCCTACAGCTAAAGAAATTAAAAAAAAAAAAAAGAAAAAAGCAACTTTAAAACCATAACATTGACATAGACAATATCACAAAATGCAGCAAAACATATTTAATCATAAATTATGAAGTATAAAACCAACCTTTAAAGGTAGCTTGAGGATCCTACCCAGCTTTCAGTCTTACTTGGCTCAATGTTTTTTAAAACGTGGAAATTTCACACAGAATTTAACTTCAGCCTTCTTAGTTATGGATGGTTGTTAGCTGCCATATAGGTGCCAGGAACCAAACATCTGGGTCCTCTATTGTGCTCTTAACCATTGAACCATCTCTCCAGTCCTTCTTTTGAAAATTTTGATGAAGCATGACTAGACTCAAATTTCCTTGTGTTATCAGACACATAGATTTGAGGACCATCTTTGTTTTTGGAAGGTGCTTATGTACCCCAGTGTGCTGGATAGTTTTAGTGTCAACTTGACACACCTGGGTTGAGGGAGCTTCAGTTGGGGAATTGCCTCTATTAGACTGTCCTGTGGCCATGTCTGAGGGGCATCTTCTTGATGAGTGATGTGGGAGGGCCCAGCCCACTGTGGGTAGTGCCACCCCTGGGCAGGTAGGCCTGTGTTGCATAAGAAAGCAGGCTGAGCAGGGGCCAGGGGAGCAAGCCAGTAAGCAGCATTCCTTCATGGCCTGTGCTCCAGCTCCTGCCTCCAGGTTCCTGCCCTGAGTTCCTACCTTGGGCTCCCGGATGAACTGTGACCCGGAAGATGTAAGATAAATAAACCCTTCCCCAAGTTGGTAGTGGTCAGAGTGTTTTGTCACAGCAATGAAGAACAAACTAGGACACTCAGTCACTATTATTTCATGGATTCCTGGCCTGTTTCATATTTGAACATTACTCATGGTCCTGGAATTATCTGACCAACTAGAAAATCGTTACTGATTTCCACAGACAGTGGGAACAGAAAAAGTGACAGTGTAAGAAATACCCTTAAAGAAAGAATTCACAGAAGTTAATGATATAAATTAAGATGAATAAGGAAAAGGATGGAGTTGAAAACTGTTTATAGAATTGTGATCAGAGAAATCAGAAGTAAAACTAACAGATTAGTTGATTCAATTAAGTTTAACAGCATACAGAAAGAAGAGGAAATTGGAGTTTTTGATATACAGAGTGGCATTAATACACATGGAGTTTTCTGTGAACACAACATAAAATACTTCCATTTGCATTATCTGACAACTATAATTTTATAACAGAGGCACAGAAACCATTTTGTTTTAATTCTCACCTCCCATTTAAATGGGCTCAATATACAAGAGATAAGAAAATTTAAAACACAAAAACTATGTAGATTTGGAACAATAAGAGAAAGTTGAAGTTCAATTATAAAACAATATTGTCACTAAAATAAAGACACTCAACATCTGGAATAAACACTATGGGTGGCAGCTTTAAAAAAGCAGCAAGTTTTAGGACAGTGCAGATGCTCCCTGACTTATGACAGAATGTCTTAAACCTATTTTAAACTGAAAACACCTTAAATAGTAAATGCCTTCAGTACACCCAACCTACCAAACATCCTAATTTAGCAACAGTACCCAGAAGAGTACTGGGAGTTTACCCTTTGTTTGTGTGGCCAACTGGGAGCTGTGGCTCCCTATTCCCACTCACTATTTCAAGAAAGTGTCATGACCTCCTAGGCTAGCCTACGAGAAGATCAGAATTCAAAACTGAAAGCATGGCTCCTACTGCATGCTTGGTGTTCCTGCATCATCAAGAAATTAAGAAATCACAAACTGAACTAACCCAATCTGACACTGTCTATATTGATTTTATTCTCTTTAAATACCCATCATTTACTTTCTCTTTAGTATGGTCACCTCAATGAACCCATCCTTATCCATCTTATTTATGGCAAACCTCCAACTTATACACTGTCTCTCCTCTTAGCTGCTTTTCCCAATAAATACCACTTAACATACTAAATTATTTACTGTATATTCTAAAACAAAATCCAAACCTAAAACAAAATGAATTTTAATTATTCAGCAATAAGGCAAGAAAAGCCACGCCAATTTAACTAGGGTACCCATTAGTGCAAATTTCCACATTGTACATCTTTAAAATCAGGATGTATGCTGGAATCAATGATGTGATAATAAATTACTGTCAGTTCCTCCAAATATAAAGAAAGCTCATTTAAGGCTGACACTTAAACATGTTATCAGAAAAGCCCAACTTTTCACAAAGGAATGACTATCAGATTGACAGCTGGGTTCCCATCAGCAACAGGAGATGCTTGATGACAATGTATTATTACTTTTAAAATGTTAAAAGAAAATAACTATCAAATCAGTATTCTATATCTTGCCAAATTCACCCAGTTAAGACTAAGGAAGAAGGCTGGGCATGGTGGTGCACGCCTTTAATCCTAGCACTTGGGAGGCAGAGGCAGGTGGATCTCTGTGAGTTCCAAGCCAGCTAGGGCTACAGGGAGACCCTGTCTCAAAAAAAAAAAAAATCCCGACAAAACAAAACAAAAAAACCGAAACCAAAACAAAACAAACAAAAGAAGACTAAGGGGAACAAAATAAAACACAGCTTCACAAAGAACAGCAAAACCCACAGGGAAGAAATAAGTTTGCAAGAAACAGTAATAAACAAAGAATTCAGAAAAACACGATCCAAACAAACAATTTCAGGTAAGACTCTAAGATAAAGCAGAATAACTTGTCTCAAACCTACGATTAATGTCTGGAGTCAGTAGGTACCTGCAGAGAGCCTGGGTCATGCTTGCATCTTTTACATTTGGGTCTGTGGTAAGGCTCCTGATGAGGACAGTGATCATCTGGAGAGGAATATGCTGAACAAGGCTTGCCAAGGCTACTGAAGGCTCAAATGATGCATCTATTTAGTTAAAAAGAAAAAGAATTATCACATGAGGTTCAGGTATAGTTCAGGAAAACGAAACAACACACACGCACTTGCAGTAAAGGTGCTAATTCAAGAAGTTTTTATATTATGTACTGTGAGTAGACTTTGAAAATGAATTTACAGCAACAAGAGATTAGAGTGAATAGGAACAGCCAGGCGTGGGGGCGCATACCTTTGGTAGCGAGCACTTGAGAGGCAGAGGCTGGTGATCTCTGTGAGTCTGAGGCCAACCTGGTCTACATAGCGAGTTCCAGACCAGCTGGGGCTACAAGGAGACCCTGTATCAAAAAAGCAAAAAACAAAGTAACATGATAAAAAAAGTGAATAGCAATAATCACTCATTTTATAGAGAACACTGAATTATAAAACCTTACCCACTGCTCCTAGATTTAGTCAATAAGCTACTTCATTCTTTAATATTACATTTTTGTGTTAAGATACTGATTTGCAAAGTAGTAATCAGAGAAGACCTGCAGGGTGTCATTGTAATTTCCATGTCAGAGACTCCAAAGTAGTTTAAAAAATATTACAGTAGTTATTACACTAAGGAAGGCTTAAGAAATATTAAGAGTTAAAATTAGATGAAGGGCTGACTTTGATTAAACTGTATAAACTTGAGCAGATTCCACACGAGCACTTTTTCTACTACAGCTTAAAGACTAGGACAACAGATGTTACAACTAAAATTACAGCAAGGAAAAAAATAACCAACTCAGACAATATAAACGTATATATACAGCTGGTATGTATTAAATCCATACAGTACATGAGCTCAACCCTCACTTCTGGTTAAGATAAAATGAGGACACCTTCACCAGTTCAATTCTGAACCACAAGGGGTGTAATTAAGAATGGGTCTATGGAGTAGAGAGGAAGTGAACCTGGTGATGAACCTGTGATGAACAAGTGACAGAGTTTAAAGCCCCCAGGCTTTCAAGAACAGAGATAAAATTCTAGGTGACAGTGTGTTCTACTAAGCTTCTCATCTGACCCTTCCCAGGCTGGGAAGAACAGAGCTCAAGGCACAAGCCAAGACCAGCACCAGTTTTGGCCTGGTTCTCCCTGCATCCCCCTCACAGGGACTGCTGCAGACAAAGAAGGCCAACACTTAAAAACGACAGCAACCTGCCATGATGAGTGACAGGTGAGGTCTAACCAATGGAGTTTTTAAAAACGAGGGCATTCAAACCAGAAAATATCACTCCAACAAGATGAAAGGGTTACATACGGTAGTAATTTGGACTCACCATCATACTACCATTAGTCACTAATGACTAGGAGCTCTTCCCAGGCGCTGTCAGCCTCAAAGCATCCCAAAACTTAAGCAGAGGCTGGGTAATTAAGCAACCTGTTGAGTGACAGCGACCTAGATATTCTCCACCGTTTTATAATGGAATTGTTTATAAGCCCCAAAGTAACATCCTGATCAAGGCAGTGAAGTGGAATCAAATTTTGGATAAGGGTATCTGGATTCCCTCTTCATCAGGGACGCTTCTTACTGAAGGATTTATTTAAATAAGATATGCTTATTATCACCCACTGGGGAAAAAAAAGGAGACTGTTTTCAGAACAGGAAGTGTTGTGGGTTTATGCTGGAGACAAGGTTGAATTTGCAGACATTCTCCTGGAACTAGACCCTTACCTGTGGAAGAGATGCTTGCAAACACTTCCTGCAGGGAAGGCAGCAACGTGGAGGGCTCTGCCTTCCAGATGTTCTGGAGCAAGTTACTCACTTTAGTGACCTGGGAGACGTACTCCCGTAGCTCTCGCTCCTGCGTGGACACGCACTGGAAGTGGCCTATCGTTCGAACCAGCTGTTGACAGAAGGTCACGGCCAGCTTTCCCTTGGGGATGCACTGCACGAAGTCAGTCAGAAGGTCGCTCAGCCGAGCGCAGAGCTGCGGCTCAGGCCGCTCGCACACCATGCGCAGCACCTCCACCTGCAGCAGGCTGAAGAGGTCGAGCACCGATGGGCAGCTCATGATCAGCTTCAGGCCGTTGTGAATGTAGTCCAGGATGGCTACGTCCTTCCTGTCCAGCGAGTGGTAGCCCTGCTGAAGGAGGCCCAACACGAAGGTCTTGTTGAAAAAGGTCTCGAACTCGGGCCGGTGGTACCGAGCGTACGCTTCGAGCACCTGGTGGCCCACCTGCCGCTGGAAAGGATCCTGGCCCTCCAGGATGAGCCGGGTCGTCAGGTCAAACATGGCCTCGCACTGCGCCTCATCCAGCCAGTGCTCGGCCGATTCCACTACCTTGCGCACGATCATCCGCTTGAGGGGCAGCGGGTGCGAAGAGCTCACCAGGCCCTCCAGGATCTTGTCCATCGTCGCCACGCTGCAGGGCCGGGCCCAGGGGAGAAGGGGCGGGCGGCAACAGCCCCGGGCTGGGGCCGGAGAGCACCGCGGCGGAGGGGAACGTGGAGCCGAGCAGCAGCGGGACCGGCCACCGCCACCGCCGCCTCAGCAGCCACATTTATTGAGTAGAAGGGCCCATCCAAGCCGCGACGGGAGCCGGCGATCCGGCGCCGCGGAAGGGCAGCCAGTCCCCGCCCCCCGCCTAAGGCACCGGAGGCCCGCACTCGGCCGCCTCGCGGGGCCGGTGATCCCGCTCAGCATCAGGAGGGAGGGGCCCGCAAAGCCCCCCGACTTCGGCGAAAGCTCGGGGCCGGCCGGCAGCCGGGCAGCGACTTCGCGTCCCGGGGCGGTGCGGGCGTCCAGGCTCTTGAAGGTGGACAGAAGAAACCCGGCCCGGGCTGAGTCAGGAGACGCTGTCACTGAGAGTGCCGGCTAAGCCGGAGAGAGGAACAGCAGGAGCAAACACCTCTAACCCGGAAGCAGAAGTACCGGAGACAGGAAGTGAAGCTCGTCGGTACCTCGGAAAGGCCCTCCCTTGTCACCCGCCCCTCCCATTCCCCCACTTTCGACTTCCTTCCTGTTCGCGCCCCTCCTCACCTCAACGCCTACATTCGACCAGTTGCCTGGCTCGGTCCTCCCCTTCGCCTGTCTCGTCCCGTCCCTTCCCCCACCGCCCTTTGCCGATGCGCAGACGCCGCAGCTTCTGGGCGAGTTACTGGATCAAGGCCGCGTCACTAGAGAATGAATGTCGAGTCACAGGCCGACTTCTGGGAGGACCAGCCCCGGCGGTTGATGGGGAGAAGGTGGACTCTGGTTCTCCCAGGGCACCATTGCTCGTGAAAACTGGAGGAAGTGCTGTTAATTTAAAATCTTGTGACTGAGAAAGTCTTGGAAATAGAAGAGGAGCATTGGATGAGAAACTAGGAAAAATCGAAAACGAGGATTGAGAAGTCTGTTTTTTAAGGAGAAATCTCTTAAGGTCCTTGTTCAAAACTGTGTTAGTTCCTAAGTAACCCTGGCGTTTCCTTACAGTGTGATTACTAAAGAAAGAACTGTACTGGTAGCAGGTGCACTTAGTTATGATTTGTTGTCACTAGAGTTTTAGCAATTGTTGGTAAAAATATAGTGAGTTTTTGTATTGTATGCAAAATATATCAGCTGATCCTCAATGGGGAGAGTAAGGTAGAGAATAAAAATATGTATATGTACCTATATAAAAGTATTTTGAAAATAGAAAACTACTGAAAATATCCCTAAATTTTACAATAAATTTTTTTTTATAATAAAGGACAAAAGCAGGCATCATGTATGTGCTCTATCAAGTGTGGAGATTCAAAACATATTTTTAAACTCGGGCTGGGGTTGTGGCTTGGTGGTAGAGTACCTCTCTAGTATGTACAAGGCCCTGGATTTCATCCCTTTTACCAAAACAAGAACTTCAATCATAGGCTTTTATATTGGAAAATGTTGCCTGATTATTGTTTCCTTCAATATTGTTTAATAAACAGCTTTGAAAACAGACATTAACGGTCCGATTGATTAGTCTATTACAGATAAAGCTCTAAAAAAAAAAAGTTCCAAGTGTTCCATAGGAAAAAGAAAAAATAAATGCAACTTGGTAGATTGTTTCTATTTCCTAGAGTGTTTAGTTATTTTTTTTCTTCCCCAATTAGCAAACATGATTGCATCAATGTATTTAACATATCCATTAGGATAGTATTAAAATAGCAACTGAAGGTGGGCATGGTGGCCCATGCATTAAATCTTAGCACTGAGGAGACATGGATCTCTGTAAGATCAAGGCCAGCCTGGTCTCCATAGTGAGTTCCTGCAGAGGCTATAGGAAGACCCTGAAAAAAAATTAGCAGTTCAGAGTTGATAGGAGCTGGGTTAAGAGGAAATTGAGATCCAATTTATTTGTAGGAAGAGATGGAAGAATGAAAGAGCGAAGAGGCAGGTAATTGGTGGGCCTACAAGACAGGAATGGCTTTCATCTTCCACACTGTCCTTTTTCAAGTAAGTAGAAGATAGAGCTACAGAGGGAAGTTTGGCTTGGCTTTCCTGCTACACTTCAAGGTAAACACAGCAAAGAAACTGAAGTGTTAAGATGTGCTAGAGTTACGATTTTTAAAAAAATATTTTTATGTGTATGAGTGTTTTGCCTGCAGGCACATAAGTGCATCTGTGTTGTGTGCTATGCCTGTGGAGGTCAGAAAAGGGCATCAGATCCTCTGGAACTGGAATTATGGGCGCTTGTTAGCCACCATGTGGGCGCTGGGAATCGACCCCCAGTCCTCAGTAAAAGCAGCCAGTGCTTTTAGCCACAGAGCCATCTCTCCAGCCCCTAGAATTGTGGATTTTATTTTTATTATTTTTATCATTTTGTCCAGGCTGAACTCAAGCAAACCATATAGTTGAAAATTATCTGAAACTACTGATCCTCCTGCCTTCCATCTCCTGAATGCTGTGCTTACAGGTGTCGTGTACATGAAATAAAATAGGTTTTACATTTCTGTAGTCGATTTCATATCTAACAGGACACTACTTGGAACTTACTAAACAATCTAACAATGTTTTAAATGAACAATGCTGAAAAAAATGCTTGTGTTTGTACCAAGAATAAAGAATTTTGAAAGTCAGAAATAAACAACTTGTATATCAAAGCATACCATCAAGAGTGTGAAGACAACCCATATAATGGGAGAAAGTATTTGAAAAAGCATTTGATAAAAGATTGTACAGACTTATAATATTATAGTTCCTACAACTCAAATAACAAGTTTTATCAAGGATGTGGAAAAAAAATTTTTAATGGGATTCTGAAGGGTCCCTTCTGTGAAAAATAGTCCAGCAACTCACCAAACGTTTAAGCATAGACTACTGCCACTTCTAGGCATATACCTCAAAGAATTGAAGCAGTGACGCTTAACAGATACTTATACACCAATGTTCATAGCATAATGGCCTAAATGAACAAATGTAAAATGTACACACACACATTGCTCAGCCTTAAAAGAATGGGATCTTGATACTTGCTACAGTTGTAGATGGACCGTAAATTAGGATGGCTAAATGAAAGAAACCGGTCAGAAAATGATAAATATTATATGATTCTGCTTATATGAGGAAATTAGAACAATGCTTATATGAGGTAACTAGAATAGTAAAATTAATGAAGGAAAGTAAAATAGAGGTTTCTAGAATGAGTAGGGAAGGAAGAATGGCTATTATTTAAAGGGTATGTATTTTCTGCTTTGGAAGATGAAAAGTTCTGGAAATGGATAGTAGTAGTGATTGTATGTATAATGCAAAAGCATTTTATGAGTACATGTTTTTTACTTTTTTAATCGAGCTTCTTAAATTTCCCACTCAAGTCTGCACCCCCTCCCCCATGCATGCCCCCCCACCCCCCGCTCCACTGAACCCTATGCACTCTGCCATACATGCTGAGTCCTGTTCATTCAGGTGTTTGTACCCAAATGTCCTGCCATGTAAATGCATCCACTGGAGTCTAGTCAGCCCATCCAGTGGTCATATGTAAGTCATATTCTCCCTCACCCAGCAGCAATTAATCTCAAATAGTTCTTGATCTAGTGCTGGCCTGCCACCTATTTCTCACCTCCCTTTTGGGCCCTTGTTTAATTGAACTGACATGGGTTGCATGCTTGACGCCACTGCTGCGACAGCCTCACATGAGCAAGCCTCCAGTGGCCTGGAAGTCTCCAACTCCTGCATTCATGAGCCAGTCCTGGATCTTACCATCTTTCCACCTCCTCTTTTGCAATGGTCCCTGAGCTGTGGGTGAGTGAGGTTCCATATAGGAGTCCCATCTTGTACTCTACAGTCTCTTATTCTCTGAAACTTGGCCAGTTGTGGCTTTCTGTGTGCATCATACTCTGATGTACATGGAAGCCTCACTGGCGCTCTCTCTGCCTATTATTCTGCCATGTTCCATGAGCCTTGTGGAGATTCAACTGTAGATGTGTCACCTCATACTGGGCATTTCCCAGGTGTGTGTTCTCTATGCCTGACCAGATGTGCAACTCTGCAGTAGCCTCCATCTGTTGCAAAAAGAAGCTTCTTTGATGAGTACTGTACAGTATGCTTCTCACTCTAAGGGAGGTCTCTTCTATCTGGCACTGCATTCCCTGCCAAGCAGCTCCCAGGTACACATATGCATTAATGTTCAGACATTCTACGTGCATTTCTCATAGGGGTTCTAGGGCATCACTTTTCCCTCTAGGTTTCCTAGCCCCCCAAGATTCACTCATCTCCACTTTTTTTCTTCTATCTGGCTTCCCTCCTCCCTTTCTTCCTAGTCATAGTGACCCCATTATTCCCACCCTCCCTCCAATACCTCCTAACCCCCACCATCTTTCTCCTGACTTCCCTCCATCCTCCACACCATGGTCCCTTGCAAGTCCCTCCCTCCTCTCCTCCCTGCTGATTACTCCCTCTTTTTCCACCTCCCTCAGGTAACATCTGTTCCCCACTATCCCCCTTTCAGGTTGTTTCTTGTCCTTTGCCTGGCTTCTGGTGTTATGTCAGAATTCATATACTCACATATAAGGGACTGGTGCTACAATCCACAAATGAGGGAGAACATACTTCACTTGCTTTTCTGTGTTTATGTTACTTCACTTAGTATAACACTGTATAGCTCCATCCATTTACCTGCAAGTTACATAATTTCATTTTTTCTTACTGCTGAGTGGAACTTCATTGAGTAGATGTACCATATTTTTATTAACCATTCATCAGTTGAGGGACATTTAGGTTGTTTCTGTGGGAGACAGGCTTGATCCTAGAGTGGAAGTCCTAATGACAGCTATACAGCAGGTCTGAGGCAATGGCCTGATTGCTGGAGCCAGGAGGAATGCCCTGTGATTATTGCTCCATTTGGCAAGTCGTAGGGCTGATGCTTGAGGCTCGCCACTCCCTAGTTGCCACCCCTTGAAATTCCAGGTTGTGGTTTATCTACAGCTTGCAGCACATGGGCATAACAACAGCCATGGTCACATGATTTACTGGAACCAGGGCTGCCCATGTATGGCAAAGTCATTGTGTCCCTGTCTGATTGGTCCAGGAATCAGGGCTGCCCGTATATGGCATAGTCATTGCATCCTTGTCTGATTGGTCCAGGGACCCTACATAAGCTTGTAAATTCCTCAATAAAATAGATCTGCGTCACTGAACCTGGTCTCCTGTGTCTGAATGTGGCTCCACTAACACAGTCTCCTCAGCAGCCCTGGGGTCCAGGATCAGGCAGTGGCGGTGGCAATTGTGAAGGCAGACTGGCTGGCCAGCTGCAGTTTCCATATCTTGGCTATTGTGGAGAGAACAGCAACAAACATGGATGTACAGGTATCTGATGAGCTCTTTGGGAATATGCCAAGGAGTGGTATCACTGGATCATATGGTAAGTTCATTTTTAGTTTTTTTGAGGATTCTCCATACTGCTTTCCATAGAGGTTGCATGAGTTTGCATTCCCACCAGCAGTGAATGAGTGTTCCTCTTTCTCAACATCCTCTTCAGCATTTGCAGTCTTTCCTTCTCTTGATCTTTGCCAGTCTGACTGGGGTAAGATGGGATCTTAAAATGGTTTCTATCTGCATTTCTCTAATTACTAAGGATGTTGAGCACTTTTTAAGGTCCTTCTTAGCCATTCTTATTTCTTCGTTTGAGAATTCTCAAACGAAGGTCTATTGCCCTTCTTTTTATTGGGTTGTTTAATTTTTCTTTCTTTCTTTTTTGAGTTCTTTGTATATTCTGGATATTAATGCTCTGTTGGATGTATATCTGATGAAGATTTTCTCTCACTCAGTGGGTTTCCTCTTCCCTTCCTTAGTTGTTTCTTTTGCTGTACAGAAACTTTGTAATTTAATGAGTTCCCACTTACTTATTGTTGACCTTAGTGCCTGAGCAGCTGGTATCTGATTTAGAAAGTCCTCTCCTTCACCCATATCTTGGAGGGTTCTGCCATAGTCATTCATTTCTTCAGCTCTTTGTATTGCTCCCAGAATTCTCTGAAGGCTGGTTTTGAGGAGAAGAATTCCTTCAGCCTATTTATGTCACTCTAGCCCCGCAGGTTTCAGGTTTTATATTGAGGTCTTTGATCCATTTGGAATTGACTTTTGTGCATGGCTGTTTAGAATTGGGAATACTTTGTTCCATGCTCTTCTGGCTTTCATAGTTTGCAATGAAAAGTCAGCTGTTATTTGGATGAGTTTTCCTTTATATGTCACTTGGGTTTTTTTCTCTAGTAGCTTTCAGTACCCTCTCTTTGTTCTGTACATTTAATATTTTTACTATGATATGTCATGGGGACTTTCTGTTCTGATTGTGTCTTGGTGGTGGCCTCTGTGCTTCTTGAATCTCTATAGTTCTATCTTTCCTTAATTTAGGGAAGTTTTCTTCTGTAATCCTGTTGAAGATCTGTTTGAGCCATTGGTTTAAGTTTCTCCTTCTTCCTGTATGCCTGTAATATGTAGATTTAGTC